CCCCCCCCCCCCCCCCCCCGCTCCGCTCACCTCCTCCAGAGCCCCCACAGCCCCCCGACACTTCTGCATCTTGGAGGCGAAGGCGGCGGCCGAGGAACTGAGGTCCTCGTTGGTCACGGCCAAGAAGTCGGCCACGCTGAGCTGTTCGGGCATGGTGCGGGGGCACCGGGCGGCGGCAGGGGGAGCGCCTCCCCTGCGGGGTGCCCCAGGGTGCCGGCTCACCTGGCTCAGCGCCCCGCACCGGGAGCCCCGCGCCGGGAGCCCCGCGCCGCGCCGGGAGCCGCTCCGAGCCTCCCTCCGGCCGCTCCCGCCCCTCCGCCGTCACGCGGCTGCCCCGCCCGTCCGCGCGTTAAAGGCGAAGAGCCGCAGTGCTCCCCAAGAACTGCTCCCATGACCCCCATTCCGGGACGAAGGGGGTGCGGGGTTCCCCGGTGCTGTGGTGGGATGAAGAGAAAACCCTGGGATCTGGGTGGATACGCACCCACAGCCTTACCGCGGCACCCGGTACCCACCTTTCCCAAGCACCCAGCGTCTCCCTAACCCAAATACCCACATTCCCCAGGCACCAGCATCCCCCCTAACGCCAACACCCACCCTTCCCAGGCACCCAGCACCCACCTAACCCAAGCACCCAGAGACCCCAGCACCCACGTCCGCCCGGAATCCACCTCACCCCAGCACTCACCTCTCCCAGGGACCCCAGCAACCACCTATCTCCATCTTTATAGGAGATGGAGACACACACGATGCCTTAGGATTATGCCCAGTCCTCTCCAAACACCGGTTTAACTGGAGCTCACCCCCACCCTGCCCTTCCTAGGACCCCGAGGGGACAATCCTTGGATAGGGGCATAGTTACTGGAGCCCTTGCCTTTTTGTTCCGCTGGAGGCGACCGTTTTGTTCCCTCTCCTGTCCCCTCATTCGTCCCACCGCTCAGTGGAATTTGGTTTTCCCATTCCTGTTTGTTTGCACTTCCCGGAGGATGGGGAAGCCTGGACACCTCAGGAGCAGGCAATGAGGTTGAACAGACGCTGAGCACAGCCCCCTGCAGGGCTGGGGTTGGTGACAAACCGGAACAGAAAGGGGCAAAATGCCTCACTGGGGCTGGTTTGCCATAAGAGAGGCTAACATGAGTGCAAGGGGGCTTTTCAGACCTCCCCCCCTCCATGCCCCTTGCACCCCTCATCCACGGTCGATCAGGGGGTGACAGACCCTCGACCTTTTCACTGAGCCAGGATGGGGCTCAGTAAAACTCAGGTCCGTGCCTAACCAGGGCCAGTCCAAGCCCTCCTCTAACGAAGACTGGGTTTCGGGAAGAGCCATCACAAGCCTTGGGTGAACGGCTACGCTTGAAAGATTCCACCCCTCTGGCACCAGTAAGCAGGGAAGCCCACGGTTTGGGGCCTCACAGTTTGGGGGGGATTCAACATCTGCCGAGCTCCCGGGACATCTTCCTCGGCAGGGCTCTGGCAGACAGAGGGTTAAAAGGCTGCAGCCCAGGCAGGACCGGAGCTGGAGGGATTTGGGATAAGAGCCTCTCAGCAGACAGGCAGCCCCCGATCCTTCTGCTTCCCCCCATCTGCCCCGAGGGGGTCTCTCCAGCCCCTTGGCTGGGGTGGCCCTGCCACCTCCTGGCTGGCCTGGGGACTGCGCGGGGAGGGGGACAAATCGCCCAGGGACATCCCCTTACTTGCTGTAGGACACTCATCCCCATGGGGGATGGGGTCTCTGTGCCCCGCGCCTGCCTCACCTGGCCCGGGGCTCTCCTCCTCTACACCACCAGACAAACTGTGCAACGCCAGCATCAGGTACAAGACATCACCTTCAGTACCTTCAGACACCACTGAGTACCAGTGGGTATCACTTGGTACCAATGAACATCAGGTACCACCAGCCATCACTGGGCACTACCAGGTATCACTTGGTACCACCGCCCACCACCACATGCCACAGGACATCACCTCGTACCACTGACCATCGCTTTGCCACTTTGGTGGCATCCCCAGGTCACAGTATGACAGGTAATACATGGGGAAGGACCTTACATGGACACAGCTCCCCCAGGATCTTGCTCTGCAGACCCCAAATCGGGGTGCACAAGCCCATCCAGTCCCCAGATCCATAGGGAGCTGACCCCCAGCCCTGGGGAATTTCCCACACTCCTGGTTGAAGGCGCTCTAGCTCAGGCAAAGGCTCATCCCAGCCAGATTTGGGCTGGAAATCACCAATCTGAGCAGGTCAGACCCATTGTCTTCACTCCAGTCAAAGCTTCATCTCAAACCCCTTCTCCAGAAGTGCCTACAGAGCAGGCTGGTCCCAAAACAGGCCATTTTACCCTGAAAACAGGAGCAAAACCAGTTTAGCTCTTCCATCCTCCCAAACCATTTCAGCATTTTGCTGCTTAGAGGAAAACAGCCTTTTAGAACTCCAAAATTATATTTTATTTCAACCCCTCCTGGGCAGAAAAAGTGCCACACGTTTTTCCAGGCCAAAACATATTCTCACCCACACCATCTCTTGAGCCAATCTACAGGGGCACCAACAACCCAAGGAAGGAAAACTTAAATACACCCACTGACAAATCCAACCCCTCCCAGCCCCACACCAAAGGGGGAACCCAGATAAATACAGTGCAATAATTACAGGTATTTTGCAAGGAATGGCACAATTAAAATCCCTATCCTACCCCATGTCCCAGGGCTTGTCCCAAGCTGTTTCCCAAGCCCCTCTCTTGCAGGTCATCGCCTCCTCTAGGCATACCTCTTCCCTGTACATTCCAGTTTTTATACTCCCAGCACCAATAGCTCCAAGAGGCTGGAGGGAGGGAACTGGTGTGGACTGGGGCAGAGGGGCTGTAGTCCCTCAGAGAATACAGCTCCATGTTCTGGCCAGAGATTTGCCAGAGCCAAGTGAGCTTCATCCTTCCCTCACCCAAAGATGACTTCAGCTTTGCTGCCTGAATGTTTTTTTAAGGATATTCCAGCCATGGTGGGAATGTGCCACTGGAAATGACCTGTTGAGACCATGAAGAACCAGTTTAACTGAGGAACAACTGGAGTGACCCCAAAACATGACACAGACCATTCTGGGCAGAGGTTTCTCTGCCACCCAAGGGTGCCCCTAACCCATCTGGGGCACCCAAAAGGCACCCCCAGCTGTGGGGTAATGGTGGGAAGCATCAGTACCCCATGGATTTATGGGGGCATGCTGGGATGAGTCCTGGATGGATCCCAGGGCACTCCCAGAGCCCAGTGAGGTGACAACCAACCCAGGAGAGTGCAGAGAGCCACACTGGGTGAGCAACACAAGTCCCCCTCTCCCTGCCATCATCAGAAAAACCCGTGCTCCCCAATCTCTCCAGTCACCCCACACAGATCCTATGCGCTCAGGACACAAGCGGCCAGAGGGAACAAAGGAAATGATGACTGGCAGGGGGACACTCAGTGCTTCAGCAGGTCCCCCAGGTCATATATCTCAAAGAGGTCTGTGACACCCTCGCCCTCAAGCCCCCAGAGATAGTCATCCTGTTCCAGGGCGGGTGAGAAGGTGATGAAGGGTCCCGAGTCCAGGTGGGAGGGGGTGCAGGGCAGCTGGTCCTCCGTCTGCTGCAGAAGGTGGGTAGGGGAACCCAGGAGCCCAGGCTCCATCTCCAGCAGTGAGCTGGGTCCCCCCTGGATGGGAAGAGGCAGAGATGGGGGTGAGAGAGGGCTTCCTGTGCCCCCCCAGCTCTGGGAGATGGGGTAGGGTGGCTGTTTAGCTGATGGGGAGCTGTTTGGCAGGGAAAGGGGTACGGGGTCGTCCCGTGGGGAGGTGGCAGCAAAGGGGACAGGGTGCTCCTTGGTGGGGCTTTCTTCTGTGATCTCCTCTGGGCAGAGGTACACCTCAATGGGGCCATTGGTGCTCTTCAGGTGGAGCTGGAAGTTCTCCTGGAAGGGCAGAGTAAGGCTCAGGGGGGCACCCAGAAGGTCACCCATATCCCACTCCACTGTCCCCAACCCATGAGGGATCCAGTTGGAGCACTGCACCCCTTGAAGGACCAGCTCAGGATCAAACAGTCCTGTGGAGACACCCCAAAAAACACCCAGGGTCATGCTGGGCTGTATCCTTGGGACACACCCAAGGGACCCATCAAGTGTTGCACAGATTCAGCAGCACCCACACACACCTGGCTACACACACCTGGCTGAAATCTGGCACCTCCAGCTGTGTCTCAGGGGGAGCCTTCACGGCAATCACCGTCTGTTCCTGGAAGCTGCTGGTGGCACGGAGGTCCTGGTAGGTGACGTACGCCAGCGTGGACAGGGACGAGGTATAGGAAAAGGAGGGGCTGCAAGCAGGACATCAACCCTCGCATCCCTCCAAGCACCCCCCAAGCCCAGGGGAATCCAAGTGGAGGAGAAGGGGCTCAGAGGGGTCCCCAAGACCCTGCCCTCCCTCCCATCTCCCTCAGCAAGGATATCTCTGGTTGGTCTCATTGTCAGCCAGCTGCTGGATCTGCAGGGCACAGTCCTGCATGAGCCGGTCCAGAATCCTCTCTGTCCCAGCCAGTTCAGCCAGATCCCCTCGCAGCACTTGCTGCTTCGCCACCATTGCTGCATCCTCAAAGATCCCCGTCCCCCTGCCAACAGAGATGGCATCTGAGTGATGGCACAGCACACTCTACGTGTCCTCAAGCCACATGTCCCTGACCCTGCCCCATCCCCCGTGACCCATTTTCAGCTGCCCAGCATCACTTACATCCACTGGATGTGGTTCTTGGATTTCTTGCGGATGAGCTGGATGCCCTCCAGTACGTTGGTGATGTCGTAGATGCGACGTTTCTGGACCTCCAGCACCTCGGCAGCCCGGTTCAGATCCACAACACCGTCAGGAGACTCGTTCAGCAAATGGATGAATTTTTTGGTGAGCAGCCCCAATGAGGTGTCGTAGCGAGTCTTCTCCCCGGGAGACTTGGGGGCTGTGGGGAAACAAGAGACCCCCCCTTCCTCTCCTTAGTTTGGGATGTGGGATGGAGGCGTCATGGGGCTAGACACGAAAGACTACCTGTTCCTTTCTTTAGAGTCAGATGTGGGACAGAGGCTACATAGGGTTGGAGACAAGAGACCTCTCCATCCTCTCCTTAGCCAGGTCCAGGGACGGAGATACCACTGGGCTGGACATGAGAGACACCCTCCCCCCCCCCAATGCTCTCCTTGGTGTGGGATGTGGGCTGGAGGTGACATGAAGCAGTGCTAGAGAGGACATGGTTCTAAGAGGGAAGAGAAGTGAGTCTGTTCCCCCCAGCTTCCCCTGCCCCATCTCACCCTGCATCACTTACTCCTGGGGCTGGGGACCTGTGCCAGTGTCCAGCCCTTCCCCTTGGGCATGCGAAATTCGGGGCCCTCCAGGTCCAGCTTCCTCTTGGCCTGGAGCACAAGAGAAAACCCTGCATTGTGGCCAAGCCAGACACCCCTCTGAGTTCCCCAGAACCCCAGTTCAACCAAGCCCTGGGTACCACATCCTGGGGTGGGGGAATATTGCAAGAGGCTCATTCAGTTGCAATACTCCTTTTGGGAAGGGACACAGCAGCACCTAGCAGTGTGAGAGGCCACTGAGAGAACTGATGGACAGGAGATACGGGGTCCTGTAACCCACCATGGCTTCCTGCACACCCTGGCACTCACAGGGAACTCACTTCCCCTTACCCCCAGCTCCTGGCAGGGCTCCACAGGCTGACCCCTGGGAATGCGGTGGCTCTGAAGCCAGATCTTCACCCTCCCACCCTGCCAGCTGGCCCACTGGGGTGCATGATGTCACTTCCCACCTCCCACCCGCGTTATGGTTGAGGCAGCCGAGGGCATTCAGCTGCCACCTGGCACCAGCTGGGTTCAGCCCCGCCGGGACCCCTGGGTGCCCTGAACACATGTACCCAGCTGGAGGGAAACTGGGATGAGGGGGCCATGCTGGGTTCTGGGAGGGGAGACAAACATCCCTGCACCTGCTGTCCCCTCATCAGGGCAAGCAGCTCCTTGAAATCCCCCCCAAGGAACCCCGAGCAGCACTTGGGCAGAAGGGACCCAGGGAAAAGTGCAGCTGTGTAAATTCACAGAAGAAACGGAGGGTGTCACCAACCCCCCCCCACCAATGCAAACAAAACCCCCAGGAACTCTCCACACCCACAAACACGCACAGGGTGAATTGTTGGGGAACGCTTTGGCTCAGGAGTAGAAAGCAGCCCCCCCAGCCCCATCCCGATCCCTGCCCCCCCCCGTACCTGCTCCCAGGCTGGGCTGTCCCACAGGATCCCCCCCAGCACATCCCACATGGCACCCAGGTCCCTGTGCCGGCTCTGACGGCGGCTCCCTTGGGAGCACAACGCAATTTGCAGAGAAGGGTTGGGCACCTCGGCCTCGTTCCCACCCAAGGGGGCTGGCGGAAGAGGCGCCAGGGGCTGTTTTCTGCCCCCCCAGGGAGCCAGGTTGGTCCCGAGCTCCTGTGGGAATCTGTTCCCTCCCACCCTCCACGGAGCAGGTTTTTCCCAGTGAACTTGCTTCCAACCCCAGCCTTGTGCCCCCAGATGTGCCCCGGAGCTGCCAGCACCACAGCGGTTAATGCCAAGCACATGGGAAACACCTGCCTCAGATAAGACCTCATCCATCTGCCAGCACGGAAGGGCGGACATCACCCTGGCCCCTCCTCCCCCTCCCCCCTCCCCGCTGGTGTCCCTTACTTCTCCAGTATGGATGGCCATGGCCAAAGTATGTTCCCATAGCTGTTGGGGAGGCCGGGTGCACGCCATCTGCCCCAAGCAATGGGGAAACTGAGGCACAGAGCAACTCACAGCAGGTACTAGTGTTTCCAGACGCTTCCAAACCCCCCGAATCCCCACCCCACGTGCAGGAGGGGATAAAGAGGGACCTCTGCTTCCCCAGGTGCAGTTTTGGGGGCTGGGAGCATGGTGGGCTCAGACAACGGCAAAACCCTGAGTTCTGGGACCCACCAGCAAGGGACAATGGACAAGGGGCTCCCTCCTGTGACTCAGCTGCCATTCCCCAAGCCGGGCAGGATTAGGCACATAACAGCTGAGTAGAGCACAGCAAGGGGCTCCCACCACCCTACCAGCACTTGGTGGGGGGGGGGGTAGGTTGAACCAGAGTAGGTAGGGGAGCAGGGACCAAACCCAAAGATCCCCCAAAGACATGGCAGTAACACCCCACGCCACTTCCCAGCCCCCAGCCATGGCTCCCCCGCATGACGGAACACACCATCGACACACCAGTATGATGGTGGGGGTGGGAAATCAGGCTTGACCCCAAAATTTCGGGGGTATGCAAGGCAGTGAGGGGGCAGGCTGGGCCCCCTGCCAGCTCTGCCTGCCAAGCAGCCCTGAGCCCAGCCCTGGCGCCAGGGGCTACACCCTGTGCCCAGCCCAGCCATCAGATCATCCCTGAGCCCCCCCGCGGGGGGCTCCTCCTGCCAACCTTCCCTTTCAACAGCATCCGTTACCTTCTCCGGGCTTGCCCGGGCTCTGCCCGGCCCTTTATGGGGCTCCCCCCTGTTCTTTCTTTTCCCACCCCCACCGTCCCCACGGGGGCGTGGGAACGCAGCACCTGGGGCTGGGCACTCAGAGCTGGCAGGGAGTCAAGGGGCACTCCAGGATCCTGCTGCTTGCTTGTGCCAAGGGGCTGCTGGGTCAGACCCCCACAGGTGCAGCCCCCACTGCCTTAGGGTGGCTGAGGGCTAGTATAACACAAGATGTGGACAGGGGAATGGAGACTGATCCCAGATTTGGGGGAACAGTGAGACCACCCTGCACTGGGGAGGAAGGCAGATAGGTAGGTACTGATCCCTACTCTGGGGTGCAGCTGACATCTGCATCCCTTCCAAGAGCCCCATCCCGAGAGATGTTCCCCAGTAGAGAGGAGGTGGTGGCTTTAAAAGCGATTAAAAGCAATTTAAAAGCAACCAAAAAAGCCCCTCCAAAGGCAGCAAAAAATTTGCCACTTCCCCACCCGTCCCTCCCCCAAAAATCATCCCTTTCGCCCATGCAGAAAACCCTTCGATGGGATCATGTCACCCCTGTAGAATCTGGGGTGCTGCTGAGCAGGTTCTCCTGCAACCCAGCACCCACAGGGGCTACCACCCTCAGGTGCTCTTTGCACGGACGGCTCAGCCCTACCAGCTCGTACAGAACCACAGCACACTCTGGACGCCCTTGCTCAGGGTGGGGAGCTAGGATTCCACAGCAGAAACGCCCCTCTCTCCAGTGCTCTTGCATAGATAGCCCTAAGCCCCCACAGAGACTCCACAGCCCCTATAGAGACCAGAGATGGGCAAACACTGGTAACAGGATTGGCACGGGCTAAAACCACTCCAAAATACACATTTTCCCTGGAGAAAAACGCATTTTATTACTCCATAACCCTTAAATCAGAGAGTATGGTAAATTTAAGGCTTTTTTGGAAGATGAGAGAGAAGCCATCCCGCTTTCCCGCGGGATGATAGGCTCCTCCTCCATGTGATCCCAGATCACTCGTGTCACAAAGCCAGTGGGAGCGCCGCAATTGCCCTGACTGGGAATGGGGAGGAAACGCTCGTATCTGATTGCATAGGCTCTGCACACAAAGGTTGTGCCATAAAAAGGGTGTGTGCGGCAGGAACCTCAGCTGTCAGGGCTGCGAGTGCCATACCGAGGTTGGAAACAGGATCTTCAGCACCACGAATGGGATAATGGCAGCGGGAAATGAGATGGGGATGGGGGGGGAACCCCTCTCGCAAGCCACCAAGGGGTATAGAGGAGCACATCATGTCCCCATTTGTCACATGAGCCTCCCAGACCCTGTTCAAGGGACGGTTGTAGGCAGCAGCACCTGGAACATCCCCTTGTATGGGTGATGATGATGGTGGTGACGACAGAGGCCGTTAGCCCAAACCCTCTTAATCCCAGGTGTCACTTAAGGACAAGCATTTCGTGTCCCCAAGTGCATCACAAGCCCCACCCGGCCACATTTAGGGGGCAGCGGCAGAAAGGAGTACCCTGAGCACTGAAGTGGGTGATGATGATGATGACAAAGGGGCCATTAGCCCAAAACCAGCTCTGCACATCCACAGAAATGGTACTGGCGTGTTTTTAAGGGAGGGGGCAACAATGACGGTGTCTTCTTAAACAGCAGCCCCCGGCAGTGCAGGGTGTCTCACGCGGCTCGGAGACAAAGAGGCCGGAGAGGAGACAGGTGGTCCCAAAGTCCCCCGGGATGGGACTCGAAACGGGCGCGTCCAGCCCTCCAGCCACGGCACAAAGAGGGAAGCAAAGCCACTCCCTCTCCCTCCACCGCGGCAATGTCCCCAGCTGGCATCAAGCATCAGGGACTGGGAAAAGGGCGGGGGGAGGGAATAAATAAATAAATCAAGCTTTGGGAAAACTAAATCGGTGTTAGCGGGGTCTGGGATCCCTCCCAGGACCGAGGAGAACAGAGGCTCACAGTGAGGGCTGGATGTGTGCCCAGGCTGGAGCAGGCAGGAATTAAATGCCAGCTGCCAGGGGGACTGATGGGCCAGGGACTCGGAGGGGGCCCTCCAAGAGCAGGGACAGGCACGGGGCCAGCACCCGACTTGTGCCTCACTTTCTCTGTTTAGGGGTAGGTTTGCAGCTTGGTGCTGGGCTCTGTAAAGACAGCCGTGACCCCGCGGCTTGGCGACAGGAATATGGGATGGCAACCCCCTACACAACTCCCAGCATCAGGGTCTGAGCTACAAAACCTTGGGGTGATCCATAGAGGATGAGACCCATCCCCCCCCCCCAAAAAAAGGCAATGCCAGTCCCACTGTAACGACGGGCAAAAACCAAGCTTGGAAAGCGATGCTGGTAGCACCCCATCCCGTGTCCCCCCACCTCCCCTGGGTGACGGGTCACCCCGGGGGTCGCAGTTCCAAAGTCGGGAGAGATAAGTGAGCAGGGCTGATGCCCCCTGCCCAGAGCACGCAGGGGCTCTGACTGTACCCATTCCTCATTTCCCCGTCATAGAAAGGGCTTCTCAACGGGTCTGGGATCGCTGACAGGGCGTTGAGGCACAACCCGGACTTATTGCAAGCTGGAGGGAGGGAAAGAGGCCGAAAAGGGCCAAGAAGCGTAAGCCGGATCCGCGGGCACGCAGGGGCGAGGGGAAGTTACAGAAACATCTGAGCCATTTCACTGAGACTTTTGATTTCAGACCTCACCCTCCCCCACTCACAGAAAGACACAGTAGAGGGTGCAGACACCAATATAAGCTGCAAAATTTGGAATGGAGGGGGCTGTACATGCTGGGGTCACTCACCCCTTGCTCCCCACCCAGCATCATCCCCAGCCTCCCGTGCCCCCGAAGAGATGCCCGAGGAAGAGACGGGATGCAGACATCTTACCGGCAGCCGTCCCGCCGAGGCTGAACAGAGGGTCCCGAGCTCGGGGCCTTGGGGGGTGTCACAGAGAGATCCGCCCCGAGAAGCGGGGGCGCTGACAGCCGCCGGCGTGTAGACCTGGGTGAAACAGCCTGCGGATAACGGGGGGCTGCCCAGGCTGGAAGCCCCCGGATCACAGGAGCCCACCACTGACATGACCTTCTTCGGGTGGTGGTGGGTAGGGGGTGGCGGGAGGGCGGTACCCCCCCTCCCCGGGGCGCGGGACACTCCTCTGGGGAGCCGCAGCATTGCAGTCTTTTCCGAGAAGCCCGGCCCGGGGAAGGGGGCAGGAGCACCCCGCGATTCCGTAGCCGGGAGGGGGTCACAATTTCTGCCGTGGCATTTTGGGGGGACCGAGGAAGCGTTCCAGCTGGCGATGCCACCGGCCGGTCCCCAAATTCCCCCCCGAAAAACCTGCAGAGAAGAACACGGCGGCGATGCCTCCGAGACCGGCGGAAAATTCACTTTTGGCCCCAAAAATCAGCCGCACTGGGGCCGTATGGGCCCGGGGCGGCGGGAGCGCAGCCCCGCCTGGGCCGGGACCCCCGCGCCCGGCTCCGCTCCCGCCCGATCGCGCCTGGCCCCGAGCGGTCCTTTTCTCTTTTTTTTTTTTTTTTTTTTCTTTTTTTTCTTTTTTTTTTTAAGCGCCAAAACCCGTGCCGCGAAATTCGGATTTCCCGCGGAAAACGCAGCGTACTGATTGGCTGTCGCCGCCGTGACCCCGCCCCTTTGCTGCGGCCGGTGGCGCCCCGCCGGGAGGGGCCTTAAAGTGGCCGCTGGGTGGGCGGGGTAATTTACGCAAATAAGGGGAGAGACCTTCTTGAGACCACCTGCTGGGGGCAGGGGCGCTTGTTTTGGGGGTGAAGGGCATTTGGGTTGGGGATCGGG